CATTAAAACTTGAAAAAAGGGAATATTTCCTCTCCAAACCCCATCGTGAAATTGCTGGGGTTTTTTCAGTGGGGCCAACCTTTTTAGGCAGGCATGTCACAAATTAGCTCAGAATCATCCCACTCCAGTCTCCGTCCCCTACCCCATCTGTTGCTCTGTTTTCTGTTCCCAACCATGTGCTGCATGCCTGCTGTGCTTTCTGTTTCTTGCCCTGTCTGCTGCTGTGCTACCTGACCCCTCCCCTGTCTGCCATGTGCCACTTGTGAAGACTTCTGTGGCACCTGTTTCAGGTTATCCACCCCTGCTTTAGATGATGGTATATCTAACGATCATTTTAGTAGTTTAAATCCTCTCCTATCTTGGAAATCGAGCATATGGAGATCAAGTTAGTGTTAGGAGCCAGTTTTGGTCATTTTGCAGAATAGGTTTCAAGGTAAATGTTCCATGTGAAAATAAACTGTTCCCCACCAAACCAGTATATTAGATGCTTTGAGTTACTATTTCCTTGAGGATTATTGGCCTATGACACTTACCCCCTGTCCCTAACCATCCAAAAGCTGTGAATGAAAATGATTGGTCAGCTGGAATTATTTGTCAGACAGATGCAGAGACTCATATGATGCTCTGTTTTTCAAAAGAGTAAATCTGCTTCTACTTTGTGGTAACTGCTACATACCCCCAATTTTGCCATAAGACAATGAAGCACTGTGAGCCTTCTGCAACATTTTAGAAATCTAAGCCCTTTGGGAGTTGCATGAATGCTGTGTCCTAAGCTTTAAAACTATTTCTTAGATGCTTGTTGATGTAGTGTAGAGGGAAATTCCTCTGTACTTCTGTCAGACTTGAGCTGAATTTTTTCCTTGCTGTGGTTAAGTTAGTAACTGTAATTGGTTGATTTTTCTATATACCACTGCAAACTTGTTTTTTTTGTGGATGGGTTCTCCTTGTTTATCATGCTGTAGAGTGATCTAAGCCAGGAGTAGGCAACATATGCTCCACAGGCTGCATATGGTCTGAGAAGCTAGAGGTCTTTGCCTGTACTCCATGTTGGGGCTGGGCAGCTTCCATCTGCACCTGCACCACTTCTGCATCTCCCCAGCCTCCCAGCTCTGGTCTGATGTGGGCCAGGTGGTTTTGGTGATGCATCACCAGCATGGTGATTTTCCTGTGCCCACACTGGAACCAGAGAGCTAGGAGCTACACCTGCATCAATTACCGCTTCCCCCAGCTCCCTGGCTGTGGGGTGGGTGCAGCTTCCACCCTGAGAGGAGCTGCTCTGGGGCCAGGCATCTGTAAACTGCATCAGTGCTATCACTGTTTCTTTCCCCAGCTGTGGCATGGGTATAGTTTCTAGTTGGTGGAGAGCGGCACCGGGCCAGGCAACTTCCAGCTGTGCCTGCTCTGTAGCTAGGGAGGGGGAGTGAAGAGAAGCAACAGCAGTGTGGGCACAGTTTGCAGATACCTGGTCTGGGTGCACCTCTCCTTTATCTGGAAGCTCTGCCCACAATGCAGTCAGGGAGCAGGGGGCTGGGAGAAGTGACAGCATGGGCACAGCTCCCAGCTACCTGGATCTAGCATGTGCATGGTAAAAGACCCCCACCCCGATGCACCAAAGAACCCATTTGTACTGCTTTTGACTAGATCTGGATTCTTCTAACCCATGGCTTGTAAGAGATTGCTGACCTCTGCCCTAAGCCACCTACAATATTTCGAAGCAGGCATATTATGCATTGGAACACATGAAATGGCACAGGGGGTAAAAGTGAAGATATTGCTATTGGGGCTGTTGGTTAATTTGTGTTAATCTGCACGATTAACCCATTAATTTGTATTTGCATTACTTTTTTTAACATGTTAATTGCACACGTGGCTTTGGAGCCCGTGCCTGGGCTGCCCTGCATTGCCCCTCTGTCACTGTCTCCGCTGCCTCTGGGCTGCCCAGCAGGGCAACACGGGCAGCAAAAGCACTGGGCAGCTGCAGCAGGAAGGGCCCAGCAGTGGTGAGGGAGAGGGGCCACTTTTCCCCTTCACCCAGCAACAGCTTTGGGATGCCACCGCTGCCTGCCTCTGCCATGCTTCCCTGCCACCTGCATGCCACTGCTGTTGCTGTTCAGGGTAAGTGCCCTGCTCTGTCCACCCTGCTCTCTCTCCCTCCTTCCCTCCCTCAGCCAAGGTCCCCCCAGGCTGCAGTGTTGCAGTTGGTCCCTGTGCCAGCTGAGCTCTGCGAGCTCTGCATGGGCTGAATTTTAGGGTGAGGGGCAGCAGCAGGGATGGGGGAGCTGCAGGTTGGGATTGAGAGGCACCAGCATAGCCCGGGGCTGTAAGGGACTGTGGGATGGGTGTGTGGGGCACTGGTAGAGCCAGGGGGCTGCAGGTCAGGAGTGAGAGGCAGCAGCAGGGATGGGGGGCTTCAGGTTGGGAGTGGGGGGCACTGGTAGAGCCTGAGGAGGTAAGGGACTGTGGGTCAGAAATGAGGGGCACTAGCAGGGCCAGGGGTCTGTGGGTACTGTACGGTTTATATTCTGTGTTGTAATTGACATCAAATTATTTGGAAAATATAGAAAAAAAATCCAAAATCTTTGTATTTAAAAAAAAAAAAAAGGGATGCTGATGCATCACCGAAAAGGGATTTTATTATTAACGGTGCGATTAAAATTGCAATTAATTGCAACTATTTTTTTTTTTTAATCTCATGATTAATTGTGATTACTTTTTTCTAATCGTTTGACAGCCCTAGTTGCTATTTTTTCCTCTTTTGAAAGTATCTCACCTTCCAGAAGGGGCACTGAGAACTGGCAAACCTTGGTTCTCTTCATCCCCTAGCTTTAATTTCATTTATACCATGGTGCTGTTGAATAGACCTGATAATACTTACGTTTGCTGTTCATGAAAAAATGTTAATACATATTTTTGCAAGGATTTTGATTCTGGTTTTCCATGGCTCTGTGGATTTAAAACTACATATATACTTTCTGCTAATGGCTAATTTTACTGTTTTAGGAATTGTTCTCAAATTAATTACCTGTGGAGTCTTTTTTCACACCAAGCATACTTTTTTCTTCTCATAGCTAATCATCTACATTTCTCCCTGAAAATTTAAGACAAGTATGGTTTTATTGTCTTGCTGATGTTTTTGCTGAATTTTAAGTAGTGCCATTCAAAGTTAGTGAGAACTGCAGGTTCTCAATCTTGTAAAAGGAAGTATATGTATATTATACCAAATGAGAATAACATAAAATATGCTGCTGTATGTAAATGCCTGTTTAATTTTATTAGATTACAAATGAAGTGGAAAATTAAGCTACTAATTAATGTGGAACATGAAGGCACTTCTCTTGTTCAATTAACTGCTTTAAACAGATGTCATAATTTGTGGTTATTGGCATTTGAGATGAATTTAATGAAAGCTGTCCTTTCTTTTCAAAACCTTCCTGTTGACATACTTGCAGAACTAACTTCCCCCCTGCTAGCATTTCTGTGTCTGTAAAAAGTAATGTGTTCCCTCTTGTCTGGTTGATTCTTTCATCAGATAATTTCTCTATAGAAAACCAGTTTCTCTTGTATTTTTTCAGGGAATTTTAAAGTTAGGAATGATTGCTTGACCGCTAAAGATTCCCAGTGATACAAAATCTTCTGATAACTGGGCACATTCTTCCAGATGTATATGCCATGGCAGAAGGAGAACTATTAGTCTATAAGATAACCTGTACCAGTTATTCTTTACTTTTTTGCTGTATTATTACTTTTTTTTAATAATAAAAATAATTTTCTTTTTCCAGATAGCAGTCTTTGCATAATGTACCTTTGCTTTCAGTGCTTTTTGTGATAAAGATGCATTTAAAAAAATTTCTTCTGTATGAGGAAATTAGAAAGATGCATTGAACATTATTCATTCTCTTTGAATTCAAATTTCTTTATAATTTTGGATTAATTCTGGCTGCTGACAGTCATTCACTGGCTATTTGTCCAATGGACACGCATGTTATGTGGAATTCTTTGCACTTGTACTATAGTCTGCCCAAGTTATAGTCAGTGCTTGTTTTTTGGGGATTTTTTGTGTGTGAATTAAAACTTCTGAACTGTGGATCTAATAATAAAGAAGAAACAAAACTAGAGTTCTTGTCTACATTCTTCTTCCCTAATATGAATGTGCTACATATGGTGACATTTTTCTCATGCTTGCCTAGTATTTTTGTGTCTTCAAGTTAGCACAGGTATAGTTTTTGTATATGTCTTGAAATCAGCCAGGAAGTTATGTCATATGGAGTTAACTGTAACGGTAGTGGCATATCTGTAAAGGTTTTGTTTTTCTTCACCTTTCTAAATAATAAGCAATTTTCTAATTTTATTTTTTATTTTCCTCCCCTGCTTTAGTTTTGATAATATGGGAGGGCAGGTGGATCATGAAGTGTTTTGGAATGCGGTGATTCAGTTATAAATACTATTCTGTCTTCGTTCAGTGGGTTTGGGCAGGAATATTCATGAATGAGATACTCTTAAAGAAGATAATTCATATTTGCTAATGCAGTTTTGGGTAAGATAACTTAACTGTCACTTTATAATGGATTGGGAAATGTATTAGACTTGCTCAAAAATATATTTTTATTAAATACATATACATTATTGTCAGTATTTTAAATTTTGTATGCTGAGAATATTCATACAAATGTTATTTTTAAATGCTACACAGCATTTGAAAAGAGAACTTGGTAACAGAAAATGTCGTATACTTACTGTAGCGGGTCAGGTTGTGAATCAGATGAATCAGCGTCTGCAGACGGGGTTTACGGAGTCAGAAGTGCTGAGGATATTTTGTGACACTTGTGAAGCTGTTGCCAGACTGCATCAGTGTAAAACCCCCATAGTTCACCGGGACCTCAAGGTAAGAACTCCAATAAAAGGTAACATGGAACTGAAATGTTTGTTTCTACTGAGCAGTCTACAGAAGATGACTGAAGTCATTTAGTTGTTTACAGAGAAGCAAGAAAAAGTGTTTCTGGCTGCATAATTATAACCAGAAAATTAAATGAAATAAATGTTTCAGCATCCTGTTCCTAGAGAATGATATTATTGGGGTATTTAAATTAGTATTGGGGTATTTCAATTAATATTTTACTAATAGAGCTATTTTTTGATACATCAGCATTCTAAAAAAGAGCCCAAAGAAAAAAAAAGTAGCTGCTTGTTTTAGACATGGACAAGCATCATATTTGTAGTGCTGTATATGCTCTTGTAGCACTATGAAAAGCAGGGGGTGTGTGTGTGTGTGTGTGTATACATATATACACACACACGTGTGTGTGTGTATATATATACACACACACACGTGTGTGTGTATATATATATGTATATATACACACACACACACACACACGTGGGTGTGTACACATGTACACACACACACACACACGTGTGTGTATATATATATATATATACACACACGTGTGTGTGTGTGTGTATACATATATACACACACACGTGTGTGTGTGTATATATATACACACACACACGTGTGTGTGTATATATATATGTATATATACACACACACACACACACACGTGGGTGTGTACACATGTACACACACACACACACACGTGTGTGTATATATATATATATATACACACACGTGTGTGTGTGTGTGTATACATATATACACACACACGTGTGTGTGTGTATATATATACACACACACACGTGTGTGTGTATATATATATGTATATATACACACACACACACACACACGTGGGTGTGTACACATGTACACACACACACACACACGTGTGTGTATATATATATATATATACACACACGTGTGTGTGTGTGTGTATACATATATACACACACACGTGTGTGTGTGTATATATATACACACACACACGTGTGTGTGTATATATATATGTATATATACACACACACACACACACACGTGGGTGTGTACACATGTACACACACACACACACACGTGTGTGTATATATATATATATATACACACACGTGTGTGTGTGTGTGTATACATATATACACACACACGTGTGTGTGTGTATATATATACACACACACACGTGTGTGTGTATATATATATGTATATATACACACACACACACACACACGTGGGTGTGTACACATGTACACACACACACACACACGTGTGTGTATATATATATATATATACACACACGTGTGTGTGTGTGTGTATACATATATACACACACACGTGTGTGTGTGTATATATATACACACACACACGTGTGTGTGTATATATATATGTATATATACACACACACACACACACACGTGGGTGTGTACACATGTACACACACACACACACACGTGTGTGTATATATATATATATATACACACACGTGTGTGTGTGTGTGTATACATATATACACACACACGTGTGTGTGTGTATATATATACACACACACACGTGTGTGTGTATATATATATGTATATATACACACACACACACACACACGTGGGTGTGTACACATGTACACACACACACACACACGTGTGTGTATATATATATATATATACACACACGTGTGTGTGTGTGTGTATACATATATACACACACACGTGTGTGTGTGTATATATATACACACACACACGTGTGTGTGTATATATGTATACACACACACACACACGTGTGTGTGTGTGTGTGTGTACGTATATGCCTGTAGTGCTACAAAATAGTGTAAGTGCTACAGAAATATTTGAAACAGGAACTTGTCTGTTACTGTTTTCATAATGCTACATGTATGTAATAGCCATACAAGTATATATGGCTTGGGAGCGAGGGTCTCTTGACTTCCCCCAGCATCCTAAAACGCTCTGCTTGTGTCTGTCTGCCCTTGCCTCTCCCCTTCTTCCCCCTTTTCAGGCAGGAGGGGAAGGGGGGAGAGCAGCTGCCTTTTTGATAGTCTTTGAGGTGCATAGCTATAGCCCAGCCAAGATTGGGGGCTGCAACCATGTTTGTGGCAACACTGGCAGTGATCTCTGCTTTTGTCACCACACCAGCAGGGATCACTGGTGGCATGCAGTAAGCTATCAGACTGCACTGTTGTCCTGGTCACTAGGGCAGCAGTGGCAAGCTGTCAGAGAATGTGCTGCTGTCCTGTGGACAACGGCGCGCTTTTTGACAGCTCTCGCCGCCCTCTGTGGGAGAGTGCAGGGACTCCAAAGAACAGCCTCTATCACCCTCTGCCTGGAAGGCAATGCCTTTGTAGTTACTTTGTAGAGCTCCAACCAGAGGGCTGCTAACATGAGGCTCCCCCTCCAAGTGCTACAAATGCATGTCTGCCCACTGCCATAGGGCCATTTTTTTTATGTTTACTTGCTAGTTTTGTATTTCTGATTTATCTTTTTTTGTTTTTTCTTTTAAGGTAGAGAATATCTTATTAAATGACAATGGAAACTATGTCCTTTGTGACTTTGGCAGTGCCACTAACAAATTCCTTAATCCCCAAAAAGATGGTGTTAATGTAGTTGAAGAAGAGATTAAAAAGTAAGTATGCTTTCCATGGCTATTCAGCAAGGACTTATTAAATTCTGTGTAGTTAAGAAAATTATTGTATGATATATTCATTAAGGGAAGCAAGTGCTTTACTGGGAACAAATTAAAGTTTGTGATGATTAAAGTGCACAACTATTCAAGAAGTGGTTCTACTGAATTTCTTTACTGATTGGAAATGTACAACGCCTACATTTGATACAGTAAAATAACAGTTTACGTACATTTTCAGCAGAACTTAAAATGAATGTACTAAATATGGAATGGCAGTGTTAATTACAAAAATGCTTGGAGTCTTTACATTTTAGGCTTCTTTAAGTCAGTGTACTATTTGTTGTCCCTTCTACTGTGCCCTTTCCACTGCGTTTAATTAGAGGAACTATATAACTTTTGAATTTTAAAAATGTTTCTGTTTTCTTACCTGCTTAGTGATACTTGGATTATTCCAAACTAAAAGTTGCACAGCATGTTGCTGCCATGATGGTCCAGGAAACTAGGCCAGTGCTCAGTGGCGGACTCAGACGTGGACCAGAAGCACTTATGGGTCTGCCATAGCATGAGGGGGGACCCCCTCCCCGCCCCCTGGCTCAGCAGCTGGTGCCTCCTGGGTCTGGGGGGGCATCCAGGATCCCCCCACAGTTGATTGCTGAGCCAGGGAGGGCACAAGGGAGTTCCCCGAATGCTTGGCGGCGGACCTGGAAGTGGATTGGAAGTACTTCTGGGTCCGCTGAGCACGTGTGGGGGGGCGCCCCCCCCCGTGCTCCTATGGGATGTTCTATCTGCCCCACTATCTTAGCATTCATGAAACGCACCTCGAGGTATGTAGAAAAAACATATAAAGCTGTGTCTATGGCCAAATCGCTGATTCGCCGAATCGGAATCGAATCTTCAGATCCGGATTCGGTCTAATCAGATATGGACAGTGATCTGAATCAGTGAATCGAATCACTGTCTCCTGAATCGGAATCTGAATCGAATATGGCCTGCTTTACACACCCTTATAGGAAATATACAACAGGCAAAAATTCTTGTAGGCGATGTATTTTTTTTATTGGGCCAGCTTGCGGTTAGGATAGATTGAGAGAGATAGTTAGCCTGGTGAGTACGCAAGCTTTTGTTGGCGTACAACAAAAGCGTTCACTTCAGCCTAACTTCTATCCCAAGGAAAATCCTGGAAAAATTCATCAAGGAGTCTATATGTGACAGGCTTGCAGAAGGTAGGATTCTGAATGACAGCCAGCATGCCTTCGTCACGGGCAGGTCCTGTCTTACCAACCTCATCTCCTTTTATGAACAGGTAACTTACCACCTGGATAAGGGAGAGGAGGTTGATATTGTATACCTTGACTTCCAAAGGGCCTTTGAACTAGTATCCCATGATATTCTTCTAGTATCCCATGATATTCTCATGAGAAAATTGGAGGACTATGGGCTTAACTGTGAGACAGTTAGGTGGGTAGGGAGCTGGTTGCCAGGTAGGACCCAGAGTTGTAATGAATGGATCTACGTTGTCTTGGCGAGAGGTGTCCCTCAGGGGTTGGTACTTGGTACAGTGCTTTTCAACATCTTTATCAATGATTTGGATGTTGGGGTAAAGAGCTCATTGGTTAAGTTTGCGGATGAAACCAAGCTATTGGGAAGTGTGGTCACGCTTGAAGATAGGCTGCAGATGCAGGTGGACCTAGGCAGGGTAGCATGTTGGACGGATTGGAATCAGATAAAGTTGAGTGTTGAGAAATGTGAAGTGCTTCACCTGGGGACAAAAAACCCCTACACACCTACAGGCTTGGCAAAGCCAAATTGACCAGCACCATGAATGGAAGGGACCTGGGGGTCATAGTAGACCACAATATGAATAGGAGCTGGCAGTGCTACACTGTAGCCAACAGGGCAAATAATACCCTAGCATGCATCAATTGATGCATCTTCAACAAAACTAGGGAAGTGATTCTTCCATTCTACTTGGCACTAGTGAGACCACAGTTGGAGTACTGCGTCCAGTACTGGGCACTGTACTTCAACAAGGACGTGGTAAAACTTGAGGGAGTCCAGAGAAGGGCCACCTGTATGATCAGAGATTTGCATGGCAAGCCATATGAGGAAAAGGCTAACGGACCTGGGACTCTTCAGCCTGAAGGCTGAGAGGGGTCTTGATAGCGGCTTACTGCTACATCGGGGCACGCATCAAGGGCTCAGTGAACAACTCTTCACCAGGACACCCTTGGGGAAAACCAGGAGTAATGGCCATAAACTCCTGGGAGACCATTTCAGGCTCAACATTAGGAAAAACTTCTGCACAGCCAGGTGTCCAGACTGTGGAATAGGCTCCCTCCAGAGGTGGTGCAATCACCTACCCTGGAAATCTTCAAGAGGAGACGGGACAGTCACCTTGCTGCGGTCATCTGACTCCCAGTTGTCTGTCTTGTCTGGTGCAGGGGGGGTGGACCTGATGATCCCCTGAGGTCTCATCCAGCCTCAGAATCTATGCATCAGATGCTATGAGTTTGCAGATGATTTCTTGTTCCACAATTTCCTATTCAGATTGGTGTTTAAAGGTTTGCTGGCTAAGAACAATCACTCTCAGGTCAGCGATGTAGTGTCCAGAAAGGGTAAATTGTCCTTCTACAGCTTATGTCAGAGTGATGTTCATTAATTTGTTTCTGTAGGGATCACCTTGTCAGAGGGGCACTTACAGGCACTTACAGGTGCTGGTGTTTGTGATATTGGTAGAATTGCAAGTGAATGAACTTTACCTTTTAGTGCAATACTTAAAATCATAGAAAATTAGGGCTGGAAGGGACCTCAGGAGGTCATCTAGTCCAACCCCCTGCTTAAAATGAAATCAGGACTGCCCCCAAATATATCATCCCAGCAGAGGCTTTGCCTAGCTGCTTCTTAAAAACCTTGAGACCATTGCTCCTTGTTTTGTCATCTGCCACCACTGAAAACAGTCTAGTTTAGGGGTGGACATAGTTTGGCCTGCAGGCTGGATTGGGCTCTTGGCATACTCCATTTCCCAGTAGCCCTTGCAGCCAGTGGTGGCAGCTCTTGGCTGCTGCCACCAGACCCAGCCCGTCTGCCCTGCCAGGGGTAGGACCTACGCAGGCAGGGTGTACAGTTGGTTGAATTTTGAATTACGTTAATAGAAGCACTGTATGTGCAACTTGGGATGTGATGACACCCTCTGCTCAGTGCTGGCTAGGCCTCAACTGGAGTATTGTTATGATTTGGGCACTATATTTTAAGATATAGAAAAACTAGAGAGGACCCTGAGATGAGCAAGCAACAAAGATGATAAAGAAGTTGGAATGCAAGCCACATGAAGAAAAGTGAAAAGAACTAGGTATGTTTAATGTGGAGGAAGGAGATGCAACATGGATAGCCTCCTCAAGCTGCAGGGGGTGCAGCAGCAACTAGAAGTCACCACTGCCTCTGTGTATGGCAGCTGGCCACATCATTGTCTCTGATGGAAGTTTTCAAAACTGCCATAAAAAATACAGTAAAACATTCTTCCTTACCACAGAGGACAGGGCACAAGGCAGTACATTTCAAATGTAACAAAGCAGATTCAGATCAAATCCCAGGAAAAACTTCCTAACTGAAAGAACAAACTGACAATGGGACAAGCAGATTAGGAAAAATTGTGGAAGCTTTTTCACTGGAACGTTTCAAGGAGAGACTACCTAAGCACTTTTCTGAGACGGGTGGATGGGACTAGGGAGAGCATAGTACTAAACTACAAAAGTGAGCAATGGAAAATGCCACAATTGAGTGTAAAATTATCTTAGTTAAGCTGCTTTTAAAATTAAACTTGTTTTTGTTTTCGTTTAAATGGTAATACAGGCAACCCCGCTTAATGCTGTTTCACTTATCAATTTAAAATGAGCATTATATCAAAATAGCGCTAACTAACTTCACTTAGCGCTCAGTGAGTTTCGTTATAACGCTTGCATTTGCCATCTTGGGTCATTAAAAACACTTGCAGTCGTCATCTTGTGTCATCAAATACTTTTGGTTTCACTTAATGCTCATTTTGCTTAACGTTTGTGTCGCAGGGCACCTCGGTGCTCTGCTCCTAGAGAGGAGAAACTGCCAGGGAGAGAGCCCTGGCAGGACATTAAGGAGCACAGCTGCGGGTTGCCGGGGCAACTAAGGAGAGTCAGCTGGCCTGTAGGAGGCAGGGCCTGGCCCTTATAAAGCCCAGGGCTGAGGCCAGGCTGGCAGTTCCCTGCCAGCAGCCAGAGGGTCAGGAGCTCCGGCAGTTAGGATGCGAGGTGAAGCCTAACAGCAAGTATAGCTCGCGAGAGCTCCAGAGGCTGGAGCGGTGATGATGAAATGCAGCCAGGAGGCTTATGTTGTTATGGCCCAGTGCCTTAGGTTTGAGTTTATAGCCAGGAGGCTCGAGTTTGTTTGGCTTTGATATTACACCGGTGGTTTGGGTGAGGCTATAGGGGTTGGAGGAGGCCTCATAAAGGGCCCCATGGTGGTGTGGGGGCCCTAGCACCAGTCAGGGTGCAGTATCCTCATAAAGGGGGGGATCCCCAGTGGTATGGGAACCCCGGGGCCAGTGAGGGCGCAACTTGCGGGGTACGTAGACCCCAGCCCCAGAGAGGGGCAGTTTTGGAGAAGCCCCAGCGCGGGCACAACGAGCCCCAAAAGGGGGCACTGCTAGGAAGCCCTAGCATGGGCATGGCGAGCCCCAGAGAGGGGGAGCGCACTTTAGAGGAGCCCAGCATGGGCCCAATGAGTCCCAGAGAAAGGGGGGGGGACTATTGAGAAGCCCAAGGTGGGTACGGTGAGCCCCGAAGGGGGGGAGCGCCTTATTGAGAAGCCCGGGATGGGCGTAGCAAGCCCGGTCATAGGCTAGTACGGCAGTAGACCTCAGACAGGGGTAGGGTGCTGCGGTGGACCCTGACGGAAGGGGTTAGTGGTACAATGCCCCAGGAGAAAGGCAAGGTGCTGCGGTTGTCCCTGAGGAGAGGGGATAGCAGTGCGGTGAGCCTGGGTCAGAGAGGGTAGCTGTGTGGTGGGCCTAAGGGATCAGAGGCTCGGCCGGAAGTCCTGTAGTGGGCCAGGTTGTTTTAGAGAAGGCCCAGGGAATTTAGACCTGGGGAAAGTGTGACGAGAGCGTGGTGCCACGGTTGTCCCTGAGGAGAGGGGATAGCAGTG